TCAATGTACTATTTCAAAGTGGTCTGGGAGGACACCCAAAGAACACTTACCTGTACTTTACTCACTTTGATGTGTCTTCATATGTCTTCTCATTTCACTTTGGTTTTTCCAACAACCAAGCTGTTTCTCATATTTCCTTTGCCATTCTTAAGGTATTATTTATTTATTTGTTTATTTATTTATTTATTTATTATAGAGCATTCCAAATGTATGTAAAAGTAGAAGAGTATAAAGAAGTCCTAGGTACTCATCACTGAGCATCAACAAATACCCATACAAGGTCAACTTTGTCATGTGTAGTTCCACTGTGCACATTCCTGACCCCATGAATTATTCTGAAGCATGAAGCAAAGTCTATGTATCATATCTTTGTAAGTAAATTCTTTAGTAGTATATATTTCCTAAAAGATAAGGACTTAAACAAAAAACACAATACTACTATCAAAATTTAACAATTCTTCAATTTCAAACATTGTATTTAAAATTATTCCAATTGTCTCAAAGATGTTTTTCCAGGTGGCTTTGATCAACCAGAATCCAAACAAGGGCTATACATTTTAACTGATAACTTTAAATTAATATTTTTTAAATATTTATTTTTTAGTTGTAGTTGGACACAATGTCTTCATTGTTTATTTTTATGTGAACTGAGGATCAAACTCAGGATCTCGCATGTCCTAGGCAAGGGCTCTACCACAGAGCCACAATCCCAGCCCAGCTTTAATTTTTTAGAAACATTAAGTGTGGATAGACACAACACAATGCCTTTATTTTTATGTGGTGCTGAAGATCGAACGTGGGTCCCGTCAGTGCTAGGCGAGCACTCTACCGCTAAGCCACAATCCCAACGCCCCCAGCTTTAATTTTAATGTGTAGATTTCACCTCCCATTTTCCTGCAACTTATTATAAGATTATTTATCCTGTAGTTTCCCAGCGTGAATTTTGCTACTTGCACCCCTGTGGTTACTTAACATGTTCCTCTGTCAAGTTTCTTATAACTTGATGGTCAGATCTAGAAGCTTGATGCAAATCTAACTTGAATTATTGTAACTCCCTGATGGTGTTCTTTATTCCATCACCTCAGGAGGCACAGAATATCTACCTGTCATGTGAAGATCCATCAGTGGGTCCAGCCTGATTCATGAATTAAATACTTGCCCATCAGCATTTGCCTTAATAGTTTCAACAGCCATTGAAGAGACGTAGTTTTATTTTTTCATTAAATTTTGTAAATGTCAACATCTATTTTCTTCATACCTTCTACATTGTTAAACTGAAATATAAAAAAAAATCTTCCTCACAACTGTTTAATTACCCTTAGGTGTAACTGGCATAAAGAAGATAGGATAAATAAAGCACCTGCCGCTTTCCTGTTCTCAGACTGCAAGGCTCTTATGGGTTGTCTTTAATACCATTAAAATAATCCCACACTTCAGCTCCAGAGAGGTGAATTCTACACCCCACACTGGACACCCTCAATATCGTGCTCTTGCTTTTTCGAACTTTTTCGCAACATTTACGAGGCCCATCACAAAATGTGACATCTTGTGTATAGCCTTTAGATTTCTCCATGGGTAGAATTTCTCCAAAAGGTTGTCAGACATCTGCTACATTGTTAAGCTCTTAAAGGTCTTATAGTTCCACCGACAAATACTTCCTGCTGTGTTATCCCCAGTTGGGGGGATAGAAGGCAGCTCTGTTGGGAATAACACTAAAAAAAAAAAAAAAAAAAGAGGAAGAAGAAAAAATTGTAAAAAAAAACAATGGGAAATGGGTGTGTTTTAAGTGGAAGCACAATACCAATAGTGGTTCTGGAGCAAGGGCTCAAGAGGTACCTGAGTAACTCCTATTGAAACAATCTCAGGTACCCTGACAGTCCTCATTACCTATTTGTAATTATTAGAGAAATAAATTATAATGCAAACTTCATAACACATTTATCAACTGTATTCCACGTGTCTGAAATATAATAGGTATTCAACTTATTTGTTAAATAAAATGAAGAATTGTTTATCCAGAACATATCGTTTCATTCACTAAGACATTAAACACAGATAGGATTTGTTTTGCCTTATTGAGCAATATGACCAACACCAGCTCATCCATGCCCCAGGATCTACATGCCTCCCTCTCACCAATCCCATTCCAGGAATTGAATCCAAGGGCGCTCTGCTGGATGATTTAAATAAAGGTAAGCATAAAATGGAAATTTAGCAACCCCTCCCTCCAGCAAATATTTAACTTTCAACTTAAGAAAACACTATATTCCATGAAGAACTAGTATTTCTCTTAAATTTAGATGACATGCAGTTTATTAGTAGCAGGTAATACAAAATTAAAACCTTAGTCACCTAGAATGTTATTCAGTTATCAACTACAATTGCATTTTATCTTCAAGATTTCAAGCAACAGACATAATAGAACACTCAAAATTATTTTATTATATGATTCTAAGTACTACAACCCCCAGTTCTTTCACCCATTTTTTTTTTTGGCCAGGTCTCAAAAGGCAAGTAGGTCACTAGCAACTTTTTCATCTGTCCACATTTTGATTCTTAAACAACTCACATTTTATCTTTTCTGTTTTCCCTTGGGGCAATGACCTACCTGTAAAATTACTTCACTTTTCCCATGGTACTTAACAGTGCAATCTGAAAAAATAATGAACTTCTTTAGACAATCGTGGGTAATTTTAATATTTTTCCTTATCTAGCTATTAGTGGCATCAATAGCTTTTTGGATTATATGATGGTCACAAATCTCCTTTTCGTTATTAAAGATCTGGTCTAATTCATTTTTAAAGATTGTTCCATTTGCTTTTGTTGCAGAAATTATGAAGGGGGCTATATGGTGGGAAAGTAAAGTATCTCTTTTGTCAGGTTTCGTCGCCATGGAGGTGGTGGGGTGGAATAAACAGGAGTGTGAATATGTAGTTATGAGGAAATATTGCCTTCTTGGCTCCTCAGTCCTATTTCCTAAGAACTAATCTCTGTCAAGTGCCTCTAGGAAGAATGATTTTGAGACAGCCAGAGTGGCACATCCTATAATTTCAATGACTCAAGAGGCTGAGGCAAGAGGATCTCACCTTTTAGACCGTACTCAGTAAAAATCCAGCAAGACCCTAAGCAACTTGGCAAATCCCTGTCTCAAATAGAAAATAAAAAATGCTGAGGATGTAGCTCTGTGGTCAAGTGGCCCTGGGTTCAATTCCCAGTGTCTCTTTCTCACCAAAAAAAAAAAAAAAAAAAAATCCTTTGGTGCTGTTTCACAGGACAAAATGTCTCGGGTGCATCCTTGTTGGTCAGCCTTGACTACATGTCAAAAGGCAATTATCTAAAATAACTCATAAATGAAGTTTTTATATATATACAACATTTAGGAAGTCTTGGGATATGAAGCAAAACTGTGCACCCCAAGAGTCTTTTCAAGGTACAACACATATACCATGTTATCTATTTCCAGTTGAGAATGGTATTTATTAAAATGTCATTGCCATGACCCATCTTTCCTTTGATTCAGTTCTTGAGAAGTGCTCTCAAAATACTGCCTTATTTCTTCTCATCGGTGGCTTTTTGCGACTACAAATTACTTAAATGCTTGACAGCAGACCTTTTACAAAAAGTTAATTACACCAAGTAAATGTCAATAATACTGACTTGGAAAGCTATATTTTTTGATAAGGCAACTTCTCCTTGTAGGCAACTGTCAACAATGAAAATATTCAGTTGGTAGTTTCCATCAGCATGTAGAAAACTGGGAAAGTAAAAAGCTGATTCATTTTTAAAGTAAAAGATTAAAGCAAAATATAACTATGGGACTAAAAAGTCAGCTGATGGCAGCATTTTCTCTGGTAACTTGGCAAACAAGAACAACCTATGAAAGTTCCTAAATATCTAATAATTCAAAAAATTAACTGTGTAGGCAGTTTAGTTTGAACAAATTTTACTTTAATAGCACAAGACAAACTACAAGTAAGTTTATCTGTTCAGGCCACTGAGAGTTTCTGATCTAAACTACCAACAGAATTTATATTACTTCAAGGTGGATGTAAATTAGCAACTGTTGATTCTCCATAAAAAGGTTAAACTGTGTAGTGGTTAGAAATTATCTTGGTTAAGTGTCCTGGAAAACGAAATTTAAAAATTTTATTATTAATTTCTCTGTAAATCAAGATTGATAAAGCATCCCAGAGGTTTTCATCATTTAAAATAACAGGCACTTAATAAGTCCTAAATTTACTTTGCTCTTTGCAATCAACAAAAGCAAACAAAGCCAATAGTCAAATATTGTTTGCAAGTTAAGATTCAAGATAAGGTTCTTCATGTCCTCACAATGAGATGGCTCCATCCTGAGGAGATCAGATTAAGGTCATCCACAAGGCTAAACCAAAATCCAATCAAGGTAGGCTTATTAGATCATTTTGGAATTACAAAAGCACCAAACTCCTACAGAAGAGGACAAAAGTGATTCAATTGGTTTCAAAAAGTTTTTTCCTTGTATGTGCATCTTTCTTAGCAAAGAATTGCTTTTTTTCCCCTTTTTTACAGAGTATCTAAAAACAATAGAAAATTGTGACAATACATTCAAACGATCTGCACAACTCAAATACAAGTTTTTAAGAAAAAAGTACTAATATTTACCACCTACTTCTCTCAGTGAAAAAAATTTAAAAATAGGTTATGTTCCACACAGACTTCAGGATATTTAAAATATCAAGTAATTTTCATTAGTTACCCAAATTACATTTTCTCTATAAAAACTGTATTTTCCTATTAGAAGTAGAAGTCGCTGACGAATCAAACTAGATATTCTTAGATTTTAAACTCTTAGTTTCTAGAAAACATACCTTACAACTCCTACAGTCTTGACTTCCATACTAAAACACGATATAAAGTACCACATAACATGGGTATTGAAAGCCTGAAATCCCACTGCACCAGAATTTATTGGACCTTCTTAAGTTTAACTAAAAAGAAAGCAGAAAAAAACAAAAACAAAACACAGCACAATGTAGAAATAATTTATTTTTGCTTTACACATTTAAAAAATCGGAATAGTGCAGTTCGACTACAAACTCAATCTCCTTCAAGGAGTTGCAAACAAAAGTTAAAACAGAAGCTATAAATTGCTTTAGGTTTACATTTTTCAAGAAATTCTAAATTTATCGAGACAATATTAAAATTTTTAAAACATAGATCTAAGGTGGTAAGGCATAAACTTTGTAATTACGGGGTTCACCCTTCTGTCCCCACACCAGTTCTGCACGACACCACAGTTCTCTCCACTCCGCCCTACAGATCACGAATGGAGCAGGTACAAATTAAATTTGGCTTTAACCATTGAAAGCACAGTTAAAATGATCTGGGGTGAAAAGTTGCGTGTCGGCATCTCACACAATTCCACTCCTTCCCTCCAGAGCGCGAATCGGACGGCTCCGCTCTCCCCTAGGCTCTCCCACGCAACGCCTCCACCCCTCCGCCCTGGCGCCTTCCTCCGGGAAGACGCGAAGCTAACGGTCTCCGCGGCGCTGGTACCGGGGCTCCGCAGGCTGTCCCTGCGCCCCCGCGCCCCGGAAAACAAAGGGGATTCCCAGCCATTGTCCTCGCGGCGCTGAGCATCACCAGCACTAGCAAGGCAGTAGCTTGCGCAGTTATCTCCACAGCGGGCAATGTCACAACCCGACCAACAGCACAAACTACTACCTCAGCCAGGGCCATGGTGTCGGGAGCCACCGGACCACGCGGAGGGCAGCGCGGCTGGGGCCGCTCGGCATCCTTCCTCGGCCGTCGCTGGCCCGCCTCGCCTTCTCCTCCTCGGCGTTCCCCGCCGCGCCCGAGACCCCGCCCAGCTGGGACGCTGCCGTCGCGCGCCCAGCTGCGGGGCCACAGGCGGCTCGGCTACCCGCGCGATCTCCGCGCCATCGACCGCTCTGGAGAAGGGGCGGTGGGGTCCTGCGGAGAAAGCCGCGCCCTCCTCTGCCCCGTGGGGCGCTCGTCCCCTGCGCCGCTAGAAAGCAGGAAATGGGCGGTAAAAGCGCAGCGAGGCGCCGACTAGGTCCAGCAAACCCCGAAAGCGGCGAGCATCGTTCCAGGCTTCGCCCGCCGCCCTCGGGGGTGCCTGCCACGTCCTGCGCCCGCCGCCCCGAGCCCGAGGTGGGGGCTGGGCGGGCCCGCACCCTCCCGCCTCACCCCTGCCATGCCGCTGTCTGCCCGCTCTCCGCGCGGACGCGTCCGGCCAAGACGGCCGCGGGCTCCAGCGCCCCGACGAAGCTGAGGGATAGCCCGGAAGTCCCCAAGCCACCCGTTCCCCAGCATCCTTCGGGGAAATCCCGCTCAGCTCTGCAAGAGGCGAAAACAGAACACAGAAACCCTGTCAAACTGAAACCGGGCTGCGCGGCGGGCTGGGTGACGACGGCTCGGCACGCGCGGACACACGACCCGTCTCGCGCTCCGCTGCTCCAGTGCGTCCGGACGAACCATAGAGATCACTTAAGGAGGCTGGCGCGCTACTCCCCACCACGTGACCGCCCAGCCAGTCCGCCCCCTGCGCCGCCATCTTACATCCGGGACCGAGGCGGCGTCCTCGTTCCCCGCCTTGGCGGATTTCAACGTGCTACCAGAAATCAGCTCCTAAAAGGGGGACTCCGATTCCACGTCACCAGAGTGCTGAGGCCGCGGCAAGGCCCCCCAGTCTGCTCTAGCCGGCAAAGTGGAGCCAGTGTGTTCCCCGTCTCGGCCGGCGAAGAAGATGGCGGCGCCTACCGCCGCCTAAGTGGACACGTTGTACTCTGGCCGGCGTTTAAAGTTTCCGGCACCTCCTTTCCTATCTGGCAAGGACACAGCCGTAAGCGCTCCACCCCCGCGGCGTGGCCGCTGTGCTACATTCCGCGGAAAACTGGCGGGAAAGCTGCTGCACAGCTCCTTTTAATGCGCAGGCTCCTGAGACTTGTGGTTTTTGTTTTCTCTTTCCCACTTTTTTAGGCCAAATTTGGCAGAAGGCTGACTGCTATGGAGCCTCATCTGTTGTTAAAAAAAAACAAACTTTTTTTTTTTAACTTCTCGTTTAGAAATTTTTAAGTACGTTAACAAATTATTTAAAAGAAGAAGTCCCTAGAAGTTGCCAAATAAAACACAGGAGGCCCAGTTAAATTTCAGATGAGTACGTTTTTTAAGCATATGTCTGGACAATTTTCTTAAAAGTTAAGCTGAAATTAAAATTTATCTCGACATCCTGTTTTTTTCCCCTGATATTTTGGGTTGAACCCAGGGGCGCTTTACCACTGAGCTAGGGCCTTGCTAAATTGCTGAGGCTGGCCTCCAAAGTGAAATCCTCCTGTCTCTGCTTCCTAAGTAGCTAGAGTTATAGGCTTATGCCACCATAACCAGTTAGGCGTTCACTTTTAATTTACTGTAGTCATGAAGCTCCTGGAAATTCAGGCTAGCAAAATCATGGAATGGAGAGAAATAAAGTGTGTGTTCAGATAACACTTTGGGACTTTGTCCATATTTTGATCCTTTCACAGCATCTGGAGGATTCACAGCAAAATTGGGCAAAAATGCATACAAAACAAATGTAATTCTTTAAAATTAAAAAAAAAATCTTAATTTTGGAGAAGAGAGGCCAAGAATCTCACTGCAAATTAAATACCGCCTGCCTCCCCCTTTTGTTCTATATGCTTTATGTGATGGGACAAAAACCATTTTCAGGACCAAAACCCAGATGGGCTTCATATTTATATGTGCATACTCAGAAAATAAAATATATATGGATATGTCCACTGTTAGATCCCAATGTTATGCTAATTTTAAAGCAACTGCTGAAGCACTTTTGCCTGAACTATTTCCAATTAAGAATATTTATGTATTTGTTTAGGTGTCCATGTATATATACACTTGGAATTAAATGCTTTACTTGACAAAGCATAAATGCAACTATTTATCACAATGATCCTTTCTAGAAAGTGTAGAAAATTCACACCACCCTGCTTGATAAGCAATGATACAGCTGCTGTGACCCCACTCTTACTGCTAATTCATTGTATAGTGGATCACATTATCTTGCACCATAGCAAATTCATTTGTCATAATGGCATAGCATTTTAAGTGGCCATTAAACAGTTGTTTGGTCTAAGGTATACAGATTTGCTAGAGCAATAAAGTCTCCAACCAAATTTAATCAAGCTATTACCCTACCATATTCCACAATTAACCTGTTTTTTACAGTGCTGACATCAGTATACTCATCCACAGTGTGCTATCATCATCAACTCTCTCCACCTATAATATGTGGGAGTCTAAGCATTCTTTGCATGTGACCACCTTCAGCTAATCTTTATCATCACCTCAGCAGGAAAATTGGAACACCTTAGATTTCTCTCCTCCATATTTCCTATACTCTATCCTGCTTATAACTTAGAGTTTTTCTTCCTTAGTTTCATTATTTATTCTTAAAAATACCAAACCTTGCCACACAGTATTCTGCTTAGCTTTCAAGGAATTTCATGATTGAGCCTCAATCTCTCACAGCCGACTTGTTTTACAAACCAAAATGCATTATCAGTTTCCTCTTATTTCAGATGTGCCTTCTCACTTTTACTTGCCAAAATACCCTCCAATATCCTTTAGACTCACTGGAAAGCCTGAGCTTCTAAGGTTCATTTTAAGTTCTGTCTCCACCACTGATTCTTTCTTTCTTCTATTTTTTCTTTTTGATACTGGGAACTAAACCCAGAGGCACTTCACCATTAAGCTACACCCCCAGCCCTCTTTTCTTTCTTTTTTTTTTTTTTCTTTTGGTGGGGGGACAAGTTCTTGCTAAGTTGCTTAGGGCTCAAGTTGCTGAAGTTGGCCTTGAACTAGAGATCCTCCTGCCTCAGCCTCCTGAAGTCTTTGCCATGCCCATCTCTTTCATTTCTTTATTGATTTTTCTGTTGAATACTAATAGCAATAATAACCTGAACCACAGATGACTAGGCTAAGTTTCCTTATTTTATGATCCCATATTAATCTAAGCTTGTCTTTCTTTGTACTTTGGACATTTGTTAAAGGTCATTTAACATTTGTTAAATTTGATCATTTCCAAATTTAGCAGTTGCATCCCTCATGTTTATAGTGTGACCTCCATAAGGGAAGAGACTAATAACTCAATACTTAACACAAAATCAGAGCTAAAATGTTAATGACAAATCTATTCTTGATATACTCTTGTATTTCTTATTATTTTAGGCACGTGGTTCCCCCAACTAGCTATGAGCAGCACCTAAGATCCTCTAATGACTTTGTCACATATCAACAAGGACACAATAAAGAACACACAGTAGATTCTTAATAGTTGGTGGTTGTCCAGTAAAAGGAATAATTAGTTCCTATTATGGCATGAGAAGTTATGGGTTTTTTGCATATTTCTTGAATTATGTGTGCCAAATGTTTCTTACTACTTAAAACTTACCATGTGCCAGGCCCAATGCTTTATAACACTCTTTATATTCCAATAAACAATAGTTAATATCACTATTAACTCTGTTTCATAAATGAGAAAACCAAAACAAGTTAATTAAATTGTTCAGGTCATATATCTGGTAAATAAAAGAGCTGTGATTTGAAGTTAACCAGTCTGGCTCCAGACTTGGTTTATAAAGTCCCCACCACCACCCTTTTTCTCAGTACATCAAGGACGGACTAGGGACACTCCACCACTAAACTCAAAGAGTTGAATACCAGCTTTTTTTTTTTTTTTAAACAATGTTTATTTTAAAACAGTCTTCCTGAATTGACTGAATTAGCCTGGAACTTGTGATCCTCCTGCCTTAGCCACCTAAGTAACTGGGATTACAGATGTGCAACACCTGAATTACTATTGTTTTTAAACAGTCAAATAATGTGGGGTGTCAATAATGTCTAGAATTAATGGGGATGAGAAAGCAAACAAAAGATAGTAAAGAAAAATGAATCAATGATCAAATCTGAAGGTACACTATCAAAAAAATTATGATTTTATATTATAATGAGAAAACTAGTTCTGCTGGCACATAAATAAAAACCTAGAATCATGCTAATAACTGTAAAAGAAATTCAGGATCTATATATACAATTACCATTATGACAATGTAGCTTTTTGAAAAATATATCCTTGACTACAAAGAACATTTCAGTTTGAAGCTCAAAGACTTTCATGATTATAATATGTAGCCTGATACACATCAACAATGTAAAAATTATCAGGAAAAAGTACAACAGTGGCATTACTTTTAAGAACTGTGTTGGGAACTGAAACAGAATCTTACAAAATTAGATAAATATATCGTCTGACATAAACACCATATGGTAACTGCCTTAAGAGATGGGGGTTGTATGCTAGGTGTTAAAATTGTGACAGAGGTAGTAAAAGCGGGAAAGCAAACAAAATTTGCATAGTTGGGGCTAAAGCTTAATATTTTATTTATTTATTTAGATAAAAAGAATAAGCCTGAAATATTGTAGCTTTGGAATTTTTCTCCATCTAGTAAAGCTTCATACAGAAAAGTACTTGTTAATATATTGCAATTGTTTTCCAAATAAAGGCATGGTTTAGGAGATCTTTCTTGGCTGCTCTATTCATTGACTTTTAGTCTAAAATATAACTTAAGGTAACATCATTTGCAGCAACTAAAAATGTTCTCAAAACTCAATAGTTTCCTTTTTCTTACTTGATGGACTAGAATCAATCCCATAGCATAATTGGGAATGTTTTAATTGACCTCTGCATAACCATAAGCAACAAGCATATGGATAGTATAGAAAGATTCAGAGATAAGAACTAGGTGTCCTAGGTGTTCCACAAAATTACTACTTTGCAACAGAAAAACAAATGGATGAAATATAAGGACAATAGGCTTCCTCAAATCCTTCCTCAAAGTAGACAGTGCAAATATTATCAATAAGTAATATTTGGACAACATAAATCTAAAACAGTTCAAAGCACCTATCTTTAAAAAACAAAACAACCTTCCCCCAAAAGAAAAAAACAACGAAACACAGTCACACAAAAAACCCTCAAGTAAATTGATTTTAAATATTCCTCCTTGAGAAAAGTGGCATCATCTCTCTATATTCACATCACAGCAAAGACATGATCGTTTCCAAATTTAGCAGTTGCATCCCTCATGTTTATAGAATCCCATTTTGGGAGCATCTTGCTTGCTGCATCCTGTGGATTCAGAAAGACAGTAGAAGCTATAGTCACCAATTACTTTATCTTGTTCTTCTATTTTGAAATGGCAGGGGAACTTCATTTTTTGCAAAATGAAGAACAAGTTAAAGTTCTTCTATTTAACATTAAGCATAGTGGGCAAAGTGAAGGACTTACAAAATCTTATTAGGTAGTGAACTGTGGTTCTACCGTTAATAGTTCTGCTACTTATGATCAAGTGAGAGGTGAATTAAAGGAAAAACAGAATGAGAAGACGCAGAGAATAAAAAAATGAAAAGAGAAAAGTCAGAAGAAAGTAAGAGGAAAAGGTAAATATATTAAAAAAAAAGAAAAACAGAACAGATGCCTATGGTGGGCCAGGGAGGAGGGGGATGATAAAAACGTTAGAATATAGTGGTACATTTATCAAATGACCTGAATAATTATGCATGAAATCAATTTCAAACTCAAATTATTCATTTCTTCTTTAAAAAGTAGCAACCTATAATATCTGTTTTAGAAATAAGAAACAGAGCCAGACACAATGGTACATGCCTGTAATCCCAAGCAACTCCACAGGCTGAGGCAGGAGGATCACAAGTCCAAGGCTTGTATTAAGAACTTAGTGAGACCCTGTCTCAAAATAATAAAAGAAAAGGTCTGGGAATGTTACTCAGTGGTAGAGCACTTGCCTAGCAGGTACAACCCCTGAGTTTAATAGCTAGTACTGTAAAAGAAAAAGAAAGAGAATCTTGAGAAATTAATATACTGCTAAAAGTCAAAGAATAGGCAGAATCTCAGCTTCACTGCCTTCAATTAGCCAAAATTACTAAGTGTATTCAGATTCAAAGGACTCGTGGCATGTCTTTAAAAAAAAAAAAAAAAAAAAAAAAACACTGCTGGTATATTCTGAATTACTAAATTTATAGGAAATTTATTTTATCTAACCCCATCTGAAGTGGTATGCATACAATTCAAGACATAATGATATTATTTTTCTTTTTCCAATCTATAAAAACTTTTCATGCAAAATGAAAGCATCACTCTACTTTCCAGAAGTACAAAAAAATTTAATCCAAATGGTCATGAAATATTAAAAAACTATTTACCCACTAAATATAAGTTGGTGACACACCATGTGATATGAATTCTTGTTCTTCTCACAAATGGTGATTTTTTTAAAAAAGCAAAATTCACTAATAATGTAAATAAATATGATCCAGCAACACTAAGCATAGTAAAATATAATACATTACACATATCTGCCAAAATGCCAAATCTACTAAGTGGAAATCTAAGGAACATATTAGGCCGCTAGCAAGGCTTCCAAAGAGACCACTTCTGTACACATTTTTGGTAGTTTTCTATCAAAAACAAAACAAAAACAAAAATACTATAGACCACAATATTTAGGGTCCAGACTTTGATCCATTCCAGGGTTTCTACATTTCCAGTTAATTTCTGTAGTAATCAAAGGTAGGTTCGTTCCTGAAAGTATTCTGCCTTGGCTAGACAGATCCCCCTATATAGCAAGCAGTCTTTTTAAGGATTTAGTTACCCATCTAGATTATTCTATATGGAGGATGTATTAGCCATTATACAATAACTACACTGCCCTTCATTGACATCAATGTAATAATGACCACTTCATTAATGCATACTATACTTTTCAGTTGTTTCCTAGTTCTGTTCAATAATTTATGCTTCCTCACCCTCAGTTTTTTAATTTGGATCTTTTTACCTGGGACTAGTGGTACCAAATTGTGATAATGAACAAAATACTCAAGGTTATATGAGAAAGAACATATAACAGTTGTTTTTGGCCTGCTACCTAAAGTAAATGTTAATCGTCCATGATAAAATATATCACTAACTTGTTCATCTCTTCCTTCTGCTGACATTCTTTAAAGAATGTAGCAAAATTGGAATCAATAACCACAGGGAGGAAAATAGGAGAGAAACAACACAGAAGTTAGCTATTTATATAATAAAATTAAAAATAAAAATAAAGTCTTAAAGTCAGACTTCATAGCATTTTTTCCCCTTTTGGCATCAAACAGGCTCCTAGTAAATGCTACTCATGAATATATGCAATAAAATTAATAAAACTTTTAACACTAGTTAAAAAGAAATCCTAAATAAGACACTACAGAACGAACTTTTCTTTCTTGGCAGTGCTAACATTGTTGGAAACTGAAAATCAATCTAGTTAAAAACTGTTTGTTTATAAAGAACAAAATAGAAAAGAACCTCATTAATCATCCAATTGTTGCCTATTGTTCATCAATCTACAACATAGGCCTTGTCAGTGACAAAAAGTGATCATGTGAGGCTTTAAATACTTTGTATTTCTAATATGTATCCCAGAGAACATTATTAGTACTATTTCAAGGACTAGTTAACAGGCTCACTTGTGCAACAAAATGAACATAGTTTTGGGAGCTTCCTTTTTGAATCTCTTGGCATCGAGCAATTTTATACAACCTAGTTCTTCTAAAGAACCCAATTCACACTAATAAGGCCAGGTCAATGTGTTAACCTCCCTGGAGTCCGGATATTTTCGAAAAATACAGTCTAGAGGAAAGCTTGGCTCAAGAGCATGAATTGCTATCAGTGACTCCTGGAGAGCTGTAGGAGATATGCTGGGGGAAAAGGTCTGTCAATTATTCTACCCAGGGGGCAGCTCACATGCTTGACACTAAGACTTTCACATTCATCACATTAATGTGTTCTGAACAGCAGGGCATGGTCCTAGTATTGAAAGTTAAACAGTATTAGCTCAAACTATTCAGTTTACATAAATGTATGCTGTATACCCTTGATTCATATTTAACCTGGAGAACAATCATTCTGAATGCAATTGATCTGTTATTTCTCAAAAATAAACATTTTTACTTCATGTAAGTTCATGGCAATATTTTTAACATGTTACTAAAATGGTATACTACCCTTGTTATTCCACTTCAATACTCTATCATGATATTCATACTTTGTAAATTCCCAACTTAACCTATTCAAAAATAGAAAATTAAGTTTGGGTAATTTTTTTCCCCACAACTTTAAGGAAAATGCTGAAAGTAAAATCTATGAAAAGCCATATTTTACCTTAATATCAGGTGAAATAATAAAATAGAAATTCACTGATTCATATAAACAAACACATTCCCTCAAAAACTAGGCCTTACCATGTTTACAGATAATAGTGCAAATTAAATAATTAAACAATTACAAGAGACTCCCAAATTGCATTCCCTTCATTACTCAATTCTAACATCTCCTTGCAGTTTTAAGATTATTCTAGAGGGGCTGAAATTCATAAATTCTATTAAAATAAAAAATCCTTCCAGTACACTAAAATAATACCAAGACCATTATTATTTCTTATGAATAATCATTTGTTTTAAACATCTTCATGTTTTCACATAAGTGATTATGAAAATTTAACTCAGAAGAAAAATATTATAATAGCATAATACATTAAATAAAAAATACAGTGAGCTAGGTCAGTTTTTAAAGAAACAAGTTAATGTACTCAAGAGCACTTTTCTTCTTCACTAGGATAGGAGAGTGAAACAAAAACTAGCATTTTACTCCAAGACAGTAAGTTTACTATACTTCTAAATGTTTGTCTATTTTCAAAAATACACTTGTCATTGTTTTGAAATACATACACACATTTTTTACATGTGGGTTACTATAGTTATTTTCCTTCTCGTGAAAACATTACAAAATGAAGCACTGAAATGAACAAAATCTCCCAGGCAAAATTTTGGGAAATCTGAAATCTTGTCTGGGTAATAATTCAAAGACAGTGACAAATGTTAGTCACAGGAAAAAAATCAGTAGAAATATAAAATATGAAAAGTCTTTAAAAGACAGCAAATATAAAAACAGACAGACTTAAGTGAAAGTTTGGAGAGATATTTAAATAAATGAGGTATGATGGAGTCATAGTGCTATAATTATCTCAATGTATTAGGTTAATAACCTATATTTCAAAGTTGCAAAATCAGCAGGTCATAGACTATTTGCTGATTATGAAACTTTCTAGTGAATCTAGAGAATCTAGAATCTCATGACCTTTCTAGTTGGATGTTAATGGTCACTAACAATACATATAAAATAAACAAGAAGCTAACTGTATGATTTACATGGTAAACTTATTTGCTGCATAAGAAGGCAAATTAAAAAAGGTGAGCAAATAATTTTGAATTAATAATAGAGCTTCAAGCATTTAACATTATCAATATTTTTAAAATTTAAACAATAAATCCAACTATTTTATACAGAACTGTACCATTTATTATACACACAAGTATATCAGTTCCCTTTGTTTACAAAGGCTGGTTGTAGATAATATGGAATGTTACAGTACAATCTTGCATAAAATTTTAGTACAATTTTGTACCTGAAAAAGGGTGCAAAAACACCAGCCTAATAAATCTGACGGAATTGAAATATCTTTTCTTTTTAAAAAGTACATCATTAACACATACACCACAAACTGTACATAAGCTCACTTTTAAATCACCAACTGAAGATATGGTAGCAGCTATGTTATAGCATTAACTGATCCCTTCCATCAGTTTAATTTATTAAAGGCTTGCACTGCTACTCATTCATGAGCCTTTGTTGATGTGTAAGCTTGTAATATGAATTACTGAATTCAGGTAATTACAATTCAAAGGAGGCAAACAACAGTTGCCAAGAATCATTTGTAGTAAGAAATGTCCTTCTTACAGAAGACTCAGAAGCAAACAATCTTTAGGATATTTTTCTTCCTTCAAATGTATTGTAGCTGGTCAAGATTCTCCATTTTGAACTTTGGATGCTGGTGGTTGCATGAAATCCTTAAAGGGTACCAGTGCCTCTTTAAGTGCAGAGCAGACTTCTGAAGATGAGCAGGTGATGCATTCTACTAAAGTTGGGTATAAGGCAATTACTTGTGCCCAGGTATTTCCATCAACTGTAATGTAAAAAGAATAAAATATCATTCATCATAAAGGTAACTCATTAGTATACATCTTGGAAAATGCTGACCTGTTCATTAAATCTGTTTTCCCAAAAAGAAGCTTTCTCAGGATAGAGGTGTGAAAAAGAAAAGAGGAAGAGTATTGGTAAGGGTGTGGAAAGTCAGACTAGAGCTGTTCTGCTTTTATCTGTTTTTATGTTAGGAATCCATATCACATTTCATTTGTAAAAAGAATTTTGCAACTTAACAGAAGTCAAAAACAAAAGGCTAAACACCACTGGTCTAGGAAGTTTAAAGAGTCTATTCCAGTCATCTTCTGGGAAACCTTACATTCATCATTTAAAACAAACTTATATACATTGAAACCCACCTAGATAGCCAGATGAAAAGTCAATAGACTCTTGGATTATTATAGGAACACACAAAAAAGCAAGGTGCTAAGCAACTCAATGAGACCCTGTCTCTTAATAAAATACAAAATAGGGCTGGGGATGTGGCTCAATGATTGAGTTCTCCTGAGTTCACAAAAAAAAAAAAAAGAATGGACTGGAAAGGAATGACTATCAGAAAGGAAAACAAATGAGAAAGCACTGTGAAAATAACTTTAAGTTATTTATACAGCTTCTATTTATAAAATCAGTAAAAATAGAAGATGAAAGTCCTCCATTCACCTATCACCCCAACGTTAATGATCTTCTACATTAAAAATTTATGAAATATGAATTGTCCATGCAACACCCTGAATTCAAACCAATTTATATTTTTTTAAAGACCAAAAAAAAAAAACCCATTATGAATTAAATTAACTTAGTTGACAACCTAATGGACTTAGTGTTTTGTTGTCATGAGAAGGGGAGAAAATAAAGTCTAGTCCTAAAATTTAACATAAAAGTATATCATAAATAGAACATAAATGCTATGAATTTTAGGATAACTGAGTTTCTAAGCACTTACCATTCTCAGGCTGAGTTTTCTTAAGTGAATCAATGAGAGTACTGACTGCTTTTAAAACAAATATGATTTCTGTTACTTGTTGTCTAAAAGAAATAAGAAATTATTTCCATCAAGATTTTAAAATATACTGTGAATACTGTGTGTCTTCAAGGTCTGTACACACAGATGTACTTCAGAAAAATACTGAACACAATGTAATTAAAAGTTAATGTTAATTTAAAATTATTACAAAAGGAAAAGTCATTTCATACATTATTTAAATAATAAGTACATATAAATATGTATTTTTCAGTGTGCAAATTTGATTAGTAGCTATTCTTACTATAAATTATCAATTTAAAAAGGGCAAACTACTCATGTAAATCTAAATTTATTTGTAAAATATTTCATGTAAATACTTAAATTTTGGAGGTAGAGATACTGGGGATTGAACTCAGGGGCACTCAACCACATCCCCAGCCCTATTTAGAGACAGGATCTCACTGAGGTGCTTAGCACCTCACTTTTGCTAAGGCTGGCTTTGAACTTGAGATCTTCCTGCCTCAGCCTCATGAGACACTGGGATTACAGGCGTAGGCCACCATGCCTGGCACTACTTAAAATACTTTATAATGTGATTTTAAAACATCTTTACAAGAGGTTTTCATTGTTGTTAATTAATTAGTATAAGAAATTTGCCAAAAATTAAATGGAAATAGAATACACTTACCACTTGGCATATATTTTACCATGCTGTTAAAAGCACATTCAAAATAGCAATGATATGCTAGGCAGAGTGGCCATATGGGTAATCCTAGTGACTCAGGAGAATGTGGCAGAAGGACCACAAAGTCAAAGCCAGCCTCAGCAACTTAGCAAGGCCCTAAGCAACTTAGTGAGACTCTGTCTCAAAAAAAAAAAGGGCTAGGATGTGGCTCAAGTAGTTAAGTGCCCCTGGGTTAAATACTCAGTACCAATAGGAAGGAAGGAAGGAAGGGAGAGAGGGAGGGAGGGAGGTAGATAAATTGCAATGACAATTTTTCTAATAAACAAGAAACATGCTAGAAATCAACCCTAAGGTAGCACTATATGGAGACATTAGCAACAAAGAATGAACCTAGGAGTACAGGACCAACAAGAATAGCTTGATTCACTTCTTTCTCCTGAAAGAAATAAACCTCTTCTGCTTTATAGCCCCCATTGCCCCCACTTATTCCTGACATGAGTTTGTTTTCATTTTATAGATAGGACTTTTCTAATACCAAAACATGGTACTATTTTAAGTCCTTTTTGTAGGCATAGAAAGTATTTGATTGTGCCGCAGTGTATAGCTTTTTAGAAAATTTAATAATACTGCAACAAACAGATTGACACAATATAACGCCACAGGACATCCATAAATAAGGTCAATTTAAAGGTAATAGTTAAATACTCAGAACATAAAAACATAAAGGAAAAGATGATTTCTGAAATCAATATATTATAATCTAATAAATAAAATAGCCCACTCAAAGCAACTTTATTTCTGTATTTCTAAATACACTTCAGAAATCAATTTTGATTATCAATTTTTAATCATGCCCATAACTAAATTACTAACACCTGTCTTTACAATGTTCTTTCATTTAAATTTAAATGTGAAGATTTATAATTTATGTTCTAGAAATTTCAAAATATGCTGAGCTCTAAAAGAAGATTTATGAATGGCTAATAAGCATTAGTAATTAAATAAAAAGGTAAGCTATTATATGGCTCTTTTTCATTGATCAATTAGAAAAAGATGAAATAAATGATAAACTGGTAAACCATTTTAAAATGCTAAAAACTGAGGAAAGGATATTCATACATACACTTCTGGAAAATGTAAATTTCCAGACATAAATATAAACCTCTGGTAAGCAATTTAGTAATACATATAAAAAGCTTTAAAATGTCTACATCCTTTGACAAATCAATTCTAACTTTTGAAATTTATTATAAGTAAATAAGAATGTACACAAAGATTTAAGGTAAGTGATTTGCCTCTCCTATAGTAATTTATGAGATGGAAGTCACAGTGATTTTCTTGACCCTTTCCTAACTTTGATAACTTTGTCCTCCCACATTATTTTCTGTCTGCTTCATTCGCTTTGATTTAAGCTCTAATTTTTATATTTAAAAAATTGAGTTGCAATCCAACATTTCCTTCCTTTCTAAAATATAGAGTTGCAATCCATTTCCTGCCTCAGCTTCCCAAGCCTCTGGGATTACAGGCATGCACCACCATGCCCGTGTCTACCCTAATTTATGACTGCATCTTTTGATGAATTCTGGTCTGTATACCAATTTTGATTAGCTTTGGCTTAGCAGAAAGGCCTAGAGCCCCTTCTACTGACAGAAATGGGATAGATGAGAAGGAGATCAGTTTGGGATCATGGGCTTATATATATACAGACTAGATAAAAAAAAAATCTAAGATGTAAATAGTTGATATAGAGAGAAACCTAGAAATGACTATAAAACAAACATGTTCCTAGAATGTAATTTATCTTCACTTTAGAGAAATAAGATCATGTCCTTATACTTTTCTATCTAGAAATCTTTGGTAGAAGACATAATTAGGAATTCAAATTTTTTTTCAGATTCAAAAAGGTAATTTAGTACATACTTCACATAGTACCTTAACCTCCACAAAGGGTCTGAAAAACCACCCCATAATAAAACACATTAATGTTATCTGCAGAAAAATCTACGAATATTTACACTGTATGGAATAAATAAAACTATGAACATCCTTAGTTCAAATCACTTAAGAAAATACTTGGTTTTCAGAGTTATCTTTTTTATTTTTGTTTTTTGGTATTTTTTATTAATAATCATGACATAAGTACATTTCCTTTAATAAAAAACACACCTTGGAAGAGGGCATTTACCACTTAATCTTTCATCCTCTATATAGCGATGTAGTACATCCTGAGACCTTTTTAAAAGCACTGAGAGTGCCATTCGTGAGATGTAGCCTTCTTGAGGTGTTGTGACTTTATTACTGAAGGAAAACTGGAGCAGTGTTTCAAAACACATTTTAGAAAATTCTTCTCTCAAACGAATATCAATCTCTGCTTCTGCAAAGTTAACAATTTTTGATGGTTAATAAAATGTCAAATTAATATACATCAATAACAATTCTACCAAACTAGAAATGTAAAGAAATTCTCAGTCTCAGAAAAAGTATTTATGACCAACCTATAACTAATCACACACACACACATGTACATATATATGTGTGTATACATATACACGCATATATATATATATATAAAATGAACAGTTTTCCCCCTTGCAAGATTAAAAATAAGGCAAACCATCTACCCCATGTCACTTCTTCTATTTACCATTTTTCTTATCTAAGTTTTTTGATATCATTCAACAGCACTATAAAAATACTTCTAAATAAAACAATTTTCTGTGGGCCAAACTCAATAATCACTCTCTCTTCCCCTCTCTTGGCAACATCATTTTTGGAAGATGACTTCTTTTTCCAATCTGGACTAGTTTTGTCTTCCAATCATGCTATTTAGTGGTGATCTAAAAGTAGTCTTTGGCCAACACCCTGGGTACCAATTTCATCCTTCCTCCTTTTATATCTTACTTCCTAGATCTCACATCATTGTCTTTGCTTACTTCTTTGTTTTCATGGATGTTTGTGGGGCTGTTCATTTTTGGTGGTACTGGGGATTTGAGTCCAGGGGTGCTTTACCACTGAACTACATCATCAGTCCTTTTTATTTTTTATTTTGAGACAGAGTCTTGCTAAATTGCTTAGGGCCTCACTAAGTTGCTAAGGCTGGCTTTGAACTTGCAATCCTCCTGCCTCAGTCTCCTGAACTGCTAGGATTACAAGTGGGTGCCACCGTGCCTGGCTCATGCAGCATAGTAGCTTCCTAAGAAAGATTGAATGGACAAAAAAAAATTTTGAGACCTTATACTTCTGGAAAATGTCATCATTTTACTGTGGTACTCAAAGTGTGGTTCCTAACAACATCAGCATCACAAGAGCATTTGTGAGAAATGTGATTCCTACTCTGGTCATACTGCAGAAGTAAATCTGGAAGTACAGCTTGTCCTCCATTATAATACATGCTAAAATTTGAGAATTAGTGTTGTGTATTAATACTTATCCAAAGTGTGCCTGGGTAAGAAACTTCATGTTAAAAATCCTTTTCATTTACAATTCTAAAACCACTGCTTCAAGGGCTAAGGGTGTAGCTCAACTGAGTGCTTGCCTAGCATGCCTGAGGCCAGGGGACCAACCAATCCTCAGTACTGCCAAAAAATAATAATAATTTAAAAACATCCACTGTTTCATGTTTTTAGCATCCAGTATTGCTACTAAGAATTCTAATGCTATTTTGGAATTTTTTCTTCCTGAGATCTTTAAGGATCTTTTGTTTATCCTAGGTATTTTGATATTTTTGATGGCATGCCTTATTGAAGGTCTTTTGTCTGACTTCATGATTTGGGGTATTAAGTGACCATTTTAAATATGTAGCTCTATTTCTTCAGTTTATTTCTTTGACAATTTCCTGTCCTAGATTTCTTTGTTCTTTCCTTTTGGAAGATCTGCTGTCTGATGTTTGACTGCCTGGATTTGTTTCCTTTCTTTTTGCTTATGTTGTTCATTTTGTTTTTACTTTATATTATGGATGATTTCCTTAATTTTTTTTGCCAACATTCACTAAGTTTATTTCAGCTACAATATTTTTAGTGTTTGAGTTCTTATTGTTCCTTTTTCATAACATTTTTTGTTTCGTGAATATAAAAATCTTATCCCTTCAACGATCCTAATTATTATTGTGTTCTTATGTTTTCTACGGCTATGCATTTATCTGTTTCTTCCCAGTTTCTATTTTTTTTTCTGGTGGGGGTGGGGTTGTGTGTGCTAGATCAAGGGGTGTAATGCTACATCCCCCAGTTCTTTTTATTTTTTGAGACAGGGTTCCTAAGTTGCTGTGGCTGGCTATGAACTTGTAATCCTCCTGTATCAGTCATTTGAGTTACTGGGACTACAGACATGTGCTATTGTTCCCCACTTTCACTAGTTTCTTTTCTTCCCTTTTCATTTATTTTGGTCTTTCTCTTTTCTGTCTGTGAATTGTGGATGTCAGGTCATACTTAAGAATGGAGAACCAATATGAGCACTGTGACTTCTTTATTTATAGGTTGGCCTTGTTTAGCAAGGAATGACTTTGTGTGTATATGTTTTTTTAAAAAAATACAAGTTAAAGCTCAGAAGATATTTGTGTCTTATGGCAAAAATACCTGGAAGGATGTCCATGTAGCTTTCTTATCTTGGTACATTTAGTACTATGAATAAGAAACTGCTAAAAAAAGAATACTTGGTAACTCAGCCCTCAATTAGCTTAGGATATTTATACCTAATTCTTAATGCATTTTATTAAAGATTATATGTTTGTGTGTGTTTGTGTGTACACACACCTTTTGTGTGTATGGGGCGGGGTACTGGGAATTAAATTCAGTAGCACTCTCTATTGGGCTAAATCCTCATTCTTTTGTTTTTAATTTTGAGACAGGTCTCACTACATTGCCCAGGTTGGCCTTGAACTTGCAATCTTCCTGCTTCAGTCTCCTGAGTAGCTGGTATTACAAATGCGTTACCACCATGCCTGGATACAGATATATATATAGAACTATATTATAATATAATTTAAAATATTATAAATGTATTAATTAATTAATTTGTACCAGGGATTGAACTTAAGGGTACTCTACCACTGAGTTACATCCCCAGCCCATTTTACTTTTTATTTCGAGACAGATTCTCACGAGGTTGCTTAGGGCCTCTCTAAATTGCTGAGTTTAGCCTCAAACTTGCAATCCTCCTATCTCAGCCTCCTGAGTAGCTGGGATTGTAGGTGATTACATTATAAATGGACTTAAATTTTTTTTTCTCTGAGAGTCTCATGTTTGTTAAACCTGCAAGTTACCAGGTTAGCTTTTAAAATTGTTAGGGCTAGGAAAAAACAAGTTTGTAAAGTAAGCAGTATGAGAGACATCTAGTGGTCAGACTGCATATATAAATGTTCTTTAAAGTACTCAGCACAAAATACTAGTCACAACTCCAATAAATTCTGCAGATTAAGAATATACATTGTATAAATTTACAATTTTTAAATAATCATGCTGAAAAAATACATTGGGATGCCACAATTACATTTAAGACTTAAGCAGAGGTTTAGATTTTTTTAAAATACCAAAAACCAACTTATATATCACCTCCCAAATAAGGTACAATGATGGGATAGAAAGAAGCATACAGTTCTTTTTAGTATGAACTTGGCCTCCAGCCTTAAGATTGTGGGCAATTTTTTCAACCATAATGAATCCCTTTCCCCTTCTATAATATCACAGTACCTATCCTCAAAGAAATATTTTGAAGAATAACATTTTAGAATAGTATTTTGTATACAGCATTCATTCATTAAATGTTCCCTTAATAAATGTTTAAGGTATCATGTTTTTCCCTCCCCTATGGACTAATTCTGTAATTCATAGTTCTGAGAGGTTAGTATTAATATTTTCATTTTAAAAATTACAGAAGTGAGAGTTAAAAGAAGTTAACCAAAATAATAAGTGGCATCCATGACCTCACAAAACTGGTAACTGTGGTCAGCCTCTATGTCTGTATCAGATTACATAAATGCTAGGTCATTTAATTAATCATTTTACAAATATAACTATATCCACAGAATATTTACATTTTTCCTCATAAGGTTTAATGTTCTATATTACCTTCCTAAAAATTATCCTACCAGTCTCCAATTTATATTTACTACAGAGAGTAAACATTTTAAATGACTTTCTTCAATACTTTCTAACACCTAAAAATTAAAAAAAAATCATTAAAATAACATACCTGTAAATGAAGAAGACTGAGAATGTATGGAGCCCTTGTTAAGCATAGTCATTATCTGACCAACAAATTCCTTAGGAATAAAATTGGCATAAGGTAGTATCTCAGTGCTAATAAGCTGAACTACCTAAAAAAAAAAAAGGAAAAATTCAAATACATTTTTTCTTCTTGAAAGAGACTAACTCATAACTTCTAGAGTAAATTTTAAAATTTATTTTGAAAGGAAATCAGTTAAAGAACCCTCCTAATATTAGTATATAAACATTTTTTGGGTTTACTGTACTTGATAACTAGTCTGTTTCCCTCATCTATCAAAACAGTCAATACTATAACTATTTACTATGCCATCATTTGGATTCATGTTGATCTTCAGCATAACTATAAGGAGAGCTACAGAAAGAAAATAGCCAGCATATGAAACTTACCCATATTAGAATAAAATATCCCAAATTAAGATTTAAATCACCTTCTTACAATGAGAAACTATGAGCTATAAGAGAATTTACTTGTTTTCATTTTGATCAAATAATTTATTCTAACATACAGCTTATTATTTTGTCCTCTAAAGAAAAAGAAAAGTTCACATAAGTATTAACACAGTAATGTCAAAAAAGCAATGTTTTATATATATATGATGATGTCTATGCTTTTTAAATGTACATTTTAAAATAACTTTATTTATTTAAAAGTTCCTCTAACTTAAAGAAAAAAGATCCCAAAAGGCCATCAACAAAACATCCATAGCTAAAAAAGCTGCTTCTTCAAATTCCATTTATAATCCTCAAAATGTATTATTAAAAAAACTATTGCCTTAATAATTCTGCAAGCTGTATGTACAGCTGGTTAAAAATGAAAAAAAAACACTAAGCAAGTCACTGATCTGAAGTATAGATACCTGGCATGCCAAATTACAGAATAAACATTTAAATACACATACATGTTCACTTATGGATTTATTTTAGTGAATCAACCTGCTTTTTTAATAAACTTATTAAATGGATAGACAACATGCATATAGCAAAAGACTATAAGAAATCGTAAGGGATTATTTTTAGAATGTCAGTGCTTTAAAAATCAACCTTTAATCTGTAAGAGTTTTAATGCTTTTAGGTTCAGTCTTAATCTATTTACCTTATTCTGTTAGCAATTTTATAACTTCAACATTTCTACTATTTGGTTTTCACAAATGATCACAGGAAAATGTTTTAAATAGCTTCCTCACCTCAACATCAATACTTTCATTTCTTTGAAACTCTTGAATAGAGAGATTATCTGGAGGTATGCTAAAAAACATAAACAAAATACCAAGTTTTTAATAGTAAAATAGTCCCTGGAAAAACAAACAGAAAATAGATAAACAGTACTCAAATGATAAAAAATTATATCTTTCCACCCAGGTTGGGACATTGTTATTTATGTCAAAGAATACTATTTCTAATTAACATTGTTAAATATTTTAAAAACTAGGCTAATTACAAATATAAAAACTCTTAACTATAAAAACACTTGGTCCAATTATTATCCTGTGTGCATAGATGATTACATGACCTGTGTAAGTCTACAGAATATACAACCAGACAAATGAGAAGTTATACTCCATTTATGTATGATGGGTCAAAATGCATTCTACTTTCATGATAACTAATTAGAACAAATAAAAGATATTTAAAAAAAATTTTTTAAATTACAGAAACACTAAAAAAAACCCCACTTTGGTCCAATTCCAAATTAAAAACCGGTAGCATTAAACTTCTTTCAGTACTATGAAAAAGAAAGAAAGGCAAAGATATTGCCTCATCTGCAACTGCAGTAAAAATTATCATAATGGTATCTGAATTCACTTAAGGCAGTGACTTAAGAGAGCCTGGGTCAAGCTGCTGAATTATTTACTCAGAGACAAATTAAATCATTAATGTGTAATAAATATAATGTATTAAAGTTCTATACAAAAAAGAGAACAATTGCAAAGAGGAGGGCTAATTCAGATTTTATAAAGCATATAATTATTTCAACAATAACAGGAAATAAATAATTCTGAGAGAACCAATGGGGATTTCAGACTCTGGCTCACATGAATGAATAATAAAATGGTCATGAACATAAACAGTGAAATATTAACTATTTAAAACTGCTGAAAGGGGCTGGGGTTGTGGCTCCATGGTAGAGATCAAATTACTCAGGAGGTTGCAGCAGGAGGATTCCAAGTTCCAGGGCAGCCTCAGCAACTTAGTGAGACACTGTCGCAAAATGAAAAGGGGCTAGGCATGTAGCTCAGTGATTGAGTAGCATGTGTGGAGTTCTGAGTTCAATTCCCAGTACCTCAACCAACACACACACACACACACACACACACACACCCCCCATATATACATACATCTTATTGGGAACACACACAAATAATATTAATGCTATTTGCATCATGTATCAGAAATACCAGACTGGGTTGTCACATAAAATGTAAGAGAGGAGAGGTACAAACAAAACTAATAACTGAAAATTTTACTCCTCTTAATCACAATACTGTAGATAAAAATCGCCTATATAAGACTTAAATTCTCTGCATTTAAAGAGTACGTTATTTTTTTTTAAAGTTTTTTGTAGGTGTAGATGGACAGAATGTTTTTATTTATTTTTATGTGGTGCTAAGGATAGAACCCAGTGCCTCACACATGCTAGGCAAGTGCTCTGCCACTGAGCTACAGCCTCAGCCCAAGAGTACAGTAATTTTTAACAAATTCTTTTCTAGGATTTTATCTAAAAATTAAAAAAACAAAACAAAAACAAAAAAACCTTCAAACTGATATAGTATTATTTGTACTTTTTATCAAATTCTGTATGGTATATTAAATTTTTTATTGAGATAGGAGTCACATGTAACCAAATTCATCCTTTTAAAGTATAGAATTTAGTAATTTTCAGCATATTCATAAAATTGTACAACTATCACCATTTAAAATCCAGAACATTTTTATCACCCTATAGGCAACTGTACCCAGTAGTAATTTGATCGATTACGGGCATGCTCTTCTGTGCAAGGCTTATGTATTTTTTTTATTGGTAACCCATCATTAATTATCTCCACCATTATCAAAGATCTTTTAGTATGACTATAGACATGTACATTCCTTGGTTGTAACTTAGAATTAAACAAATTTTATCTAGAGATACAGATAGGATTTGTGAAGCTGCTTTGCTGGTAGTGGTTATAAAATTCCTGCCATTGGTTTAGGTTTGGGTTCATGTCTTTGTAATTTTTTTCCTCTAGTTCCTACTACTAGATTATAGAGTTAGTTGAGGACTTGTACACTAGAATGTAAGTTCCATAACTGAGTCTGTCTTGTTCACAACTGGATCTTGAACACCAAGAATATAATGCCTGATACAAAGTAGTTGGTACTCAGCAGATATTTGTTGAATGAAAAATGTGGAAATCATGCAACCAAGGTCCACTCCCATATGTCCTAGGTAGAGAACTGTAAATACCTCTAAACCCAAGTGTACTATCATTATTGTTATATTACAACATAAAAGAGAACAGTGTAGGCTTAAATATCAGATAAATCAGGTTCAAATTGCAGCCTTGTGTTTGCAGTGTGTTCTTGGGCATGTTATTGACCATTTGAAGCCCCGGTTTTCTGTTGATTAAAGGATAATTATAATACTGCATGGGATTGCTGTGGGAACGTGAGATTAATACAAATAAAGCTCTTATTATAATGTGTAATTTTAGCCATCATTATTATTGTAATAATACTATCCTATTCTCAGCAGTTTTTAAAAACAGTGTTATTGTATTTTTTATACCTTTATTTTTATTCGTTTATTTTTATGTGGTGCTGAGGATAGAACCCAGTGCCTCACACATGCTAGGCAAGCACTCTACCATGGAGCCACAACCCCAGCCCCTTTCAGCAGTTTTAAATAGTTAATATTTCACTGTTTATGTTCATGACCATTTTATTATTCATTCATGTGAGCCAGAGTCTGAAATCCCCATTGGTTCTCTCAGAATTATTTATTTCCTGTTATTGTTGAAATAATTATATGCTTTATAAAATCTGAATTAGCCCTCCTCTTTGCAATTGTTATAAGTAAATAATTTAAATAAGAAAAAAGGTAACAGAATTGAAAAACATAGGGACTGTAATCTGGTAGACACTTCAGGTGTATTAGAAATTCATTCAGCCAAACTTTTAATACCAAAACATGGTACTTATTCTAGTGTACACAGTGGGCTATCAGGAAATCATACAATTTATGGTCTGTATATAGTACATTAAAAATCACTAAGTACTAAGTTGGGCACAGTAGCATATGCCTGTAACTCCAGGTACTTGGGTGACTGAGGCAGGGATATTGCTTGAATCTAGGAGTTAGGGCCAGCCTGTACAACACAGCAGAACCATATGTTTTAAGAAAAATTACTAAGTACTATCCAAAACAGTTGAACACACATATTCATACAAAAATTTGTATGCTAGTATTCATTGCAGCATTATTTATAATAGCCAAAAAAACGAGAACAACCCAAATATCTGTCAGCTGATGAATGGATAAATTAAGTGTGGTTTATTTATACAACAGAATGCTATTCAGCCATAAAAAGGACTGAAATAATAAAATAAAAGGACTGATGCATGCTATTAACATGGATGAACCTTCAAAGTATGCCAGGTGGGAAGAAACCAGACCCAAAACGTCATATATTGTACGTTTCATTTATGTGATGTATCCAGAATAGGCAAATCCATAGAAATAGAAAGTAAATTATTTGTTTCCAGGAGTCAGAGAAGGGAGAAAATGGGGAGTGACTGCTACTGGTATGGTATATTAAATTTTTTATTGAGATAGGAGTCACATGTAACCAAATTCATCCTTTTAAAGTATAGAATTTAGTAATTTTCAGCATATTCATAAAATTGTACAACTATCACCATTTAAAATCCAGAACATTTTTATCACCCTATAGGCAACTGTACCCAGTAGCAGTCACTCCCCATTTTCTCCCTTCTCTGACTCCTGGAAACAAATAATTTACTTTCTATAACACCCCTTAATGCAGTCCAAAGCCTTTCTTTTCTTCAAGTTGATTTTGATTTTACTTGTATTTTTTTTGTTATTAGATTACTTTGCAAAGCAGCTTACAGATCAAAAAATGGAGGAATATCATGGAAAAAGATATGATTATTCGTGGAGGCTTAATATGTATAAATCAGTTAAAGAATTCAAGAATATATCAACATAGAAAACACTGATTTTCTAAAATAATTTTCCTCTTGTAACACCAAGTGGGGCTCAGATTAAAAAAAAAAAAATCAATCTTCTTAGTTTCATTAAGTTAAAAATCATAATTCCTTAATTATGTTGCACTCATATGGTCTTATATGTATGATTCCTGTCTTACAAAACATTGCAAAAAGCAAAAAAATACCACTGACCATGGATAATGTACTTAGTGGATAAATGCCAAACCCAGCCATGTTTTATATATAGTCTAACAATCTACTAATCAATTACTTTGTTATTGAAAAAACAACATGGTTTTAGAACAACTGCATATATCATGTGCCAATTTCTGAAAAATTGTCTTAATCTTTTAAATAAATGAGCTGACCTTTTAGTAAAAAGAAAGTCTTCAAAAGTGTTGGCTAGTTCTGGCCACATACTGTCAAATTTTCCAGAAGAAGCATGCTGTCGGGCAACAGGTAGCCCAATAGAAAGAACTTTGAGGAGTGAAGATACTGCTAGCTTCCATGTGCTTTCAGAAGGGCAGGAATACTTCAAACTGAGAGGAACTCTAAGAGCCTGAAAATAAAGATAGTCTAAGATAAGTATTAATTAAAACACACACATACAACTTAAATTACTTAAGAACAAAATACTAAAGCAGAGAGAAAAATAATAGCATAGGTATTTTCACTCAGAGAAGATGTTATTTTTTTAGAAAGGCAGAGTCTCAAACATGGTCTTCAAACCTAATTCCGAAAAAAAATATTATTTAATTATTAAAAACATATTATTTATTTATTTTGGATGCTGGGGATTGTGGTGCTAAAAGTACATATTCTTCCACCGAGTCCTACACCCTCAAATTCAAAAGATGTACTTTGAAATCCTGTCTTTATCTTCTAAACAATAACTCTAAAAAAAATAAGGTTTCGAATTTCAGGGTTTTTAAAAATATATATATTTTTAGTTGTTGATAGACCTTTATTTTATTTATTTATATGTGGTGCTGAGAATAGAATCCAGTGCCTCACACATGCCAGGCAAGTACACTACTGCTGAGCCACAGCCCCCGCCCTGATTTTCAGTTTTTAGTTATAAAAAAGGGGGATATTATTTAAAAAGTTAAAGAGTAAGAAACTTACAATTTTGCACTTTTTCTCAACTCGACATTATGGATTTAGAAAATCATGCCATTTTTGTTCTAAGAGAAAAGTAATTTCATTGATGTGGCTCCTCCGTCCAAAAGAGGTTAATACTGCTTATATTTTTCCATTAATGGTTAGGGGAGAGTAAACATAACCTAAAATGTCATTACTTTGAAGTTTTATCTCTAAAATTCTTTGAATTTTATATTCCATTCTAATATTTTTATGTATCTTTCTTTTCCAAATATTTTAATGAAACTGAAAATTCAATTAATATGACTTATCTTTGACTATCAAAAGTACAGGAGTAGAGCATCTGAGTTATGTATAGTGCCCAAGATGTTAAGACTCTTTTAAAAAATTGGTCAATTTTTCAAAAAAATGGCTTTTGTAAAAATAATTTGGTGATTGAGAATGAACTTTTTGAGTCATAGTTCTTTCAACAATTAGAAGACTAGACTGACAAAACTATTATGGCAAATTATCCCAGAAATTTCAATCACTAAAAATTTGGTATCATCTTAGATAATCTGAGTTAGAGATAAAATTCAGCTTTTACATAAAAAATTCTAAGAGATAAATTTTTATATTTCAAGGATATAATACCTAGTGTCATCCTCTGCCACCCAATTTAATGTATGAACCATTTCCTATTTGCATGAAACAGGCCTCCAAGAACAGATATTAGTCTACTCAGAATCTATTTACTGCTTTCCCATGCATGTAATTCCACAAAACCTATTTCTTTTCTGAGGAGCTAACTCCACTTCCAGGTTGGGAATTCAGGTAAAGACATGCTTAAGTTAATAAGATAATCAAAACATGTCGTTTCCCTGTCCATGTGAACTGGTTCAAGAATGGGTACAGACTGGGCATGGTGGCACACATCTGTAAAATCAGCAGCTTGGGAGGCTGAGGTGGGAGGATTTTGAATTCAAAGCCAGCCTCAGCAACTTAATGAGGCCCTAAGCAACTCAGTGAGACCCTATCTCTAAGTAAAATGTAAAAAAGGGCTGGGGATGTGGCTCAGTGGTTAAGAGCCTCTGGGTTTAATTCCTGGTATCCCCTCCACCCACAAAATGTATATGGGACCAAAGCTGGTCCATCTTCTAACATTAATTTTAATAATTTAAGAATGTGGTAAAAAACTGTGTGTACATGTATTTGTGTGCTCACACACACAATCCTTTTACTGGATATGTGGAGAAACACAGGATATAGTCAACCCTTAGAAAGCAAAACAGAGAAAGAAATTTGAGTTTTAATGATACTGTTAAACCACTGGATCAACCAGTCCTAACGTCCTCTATCTTTGAATTTTCTAATTAAGCATACTGAAAATTCTCTTTATTGCTAAAGCTAATCAGAGCCTGACTGTATGTGATTTGTAACCAAAGGAATACTAAAGGCCACACAGATCATTTTCAGTAAACATTTCATAACTCAAATTTAGATAAAAGAAAATTATGATAGACTTCTGCAATTAATATCTTATTGAATATTAAGCACAGTTGATCTATTCAACTGGAACATCTTATTTCTTAGAATGTTTAAAGAAATAATACAGGAGTAAGTGTACAATAAGTGTACAACGGTGTATGCTCAGTAAATGCATACTGAACTGGGAAATTTAGTTTCAGACATCACAGGTGTCCAATTTCTAAGAAAAAAAGAGCCTTGTCCAATTAAACACAATATAATGCAGTAAGAAGTGGTATCAACAAAGTGTTTGAGAGTACAGAAAAGGGATCATTTAATTCCTTTAAAAATACAAACTGTGTAACTCCAGCTACTTGGGATACTAAGGCAGATGATTTGAGGCCATCCTGAGCAATTCAGAGAGGCTGCCACAAAATAAAATAATAAGGGTTGGCAATGTAGCTTGTAAAATACTTGCTAAGCATGCATGAGACTCTCCAGTACTGCAAACAAAAACCAAACCTCTGATGATATGATGGCATTCCTCAGTGTTTGAGCTTTCAATGATTGAAAAATAAAGTCTGATATTATGATGATTTTTAAAACCTTCAGGTACCTTTTCAGACTTATTCCAGGTTCCGTGACCTCTCTAAACGGAATTTCTCTAGATTTCTCGAAAATATTCCATCATCTTAATTTAGCTAAAATGCCTCCCTGTCTGTTTTAGCAAACTCTCACTCCTCCAAGTGTCATTTCTGTTAATCCTATCCCAAATCCTCTCAGCAGTTCAATTATTTGTCTGTGGTAGGAAATAATTTTTTTATTTAGCATTGACTATTTGGCAAGACAAGCATCATTAAATGTTCAACAAATTCTCTTTGCTATAGTTAGGACATATAAGTAATATTGCAATTATCCTGTCACAGATAAGAAACACTCTCAAATAAATTCATTTGCCCAAACTCAAAAGGCAAGAAGTAAACAGCAGACACTATTTGAAGTAAGGTCTACCTGAATAAAAGTGACCTTTACTCTATGGTCTTCACTTAGCACTCAGCATACTCTATCATTTATTACATAAGAACTTATCTACATTTTTATAATCTCCAGTATTTAGTTAGTACCTGGTACATAGAAATGCTTAAAAATATGTTCAAAAAATGAAGAATGAAGGGAGAGTTTTGGGAGATATGTGTTGAGGAATAGAAAGAAGTATCACAAAATTCAGGGGAAAAAAGAAATTTAAGAAGGTAGAGCAGAAGTATTCCCATTCTATAAAGAAGATAAAGAGTAAGAAAACAACAGATTTGAAAATTTGGTTTTCTACCACTTCAGAAATCAGTTTCTATAGAGTAATATGGACATAAGCCAACATGTAGTAAGAGTAAGTGGTGGCTAGATGAAGGCCACAAGCTGTCATATGGGATTTGGAAATAAAGGAAAGCAAAAAGAGGATGGCAATTTGTGTAGGACGTGTGGAAAGTGGTGACTTGGATCCCGATCTCTGACTACATCACGGCTGTATTTGCTCTGGGAACTTCCTGTACAAAGATGCAAGTCAAGATTGCCCAGTTGCTATGATGACACCTGAAGTGGCTCTGTGCAAAGGCATGAAGTTGTATCAGTCTGGACCTTGAGCTCAGGCACCAGCTCCCAGAGATAGAGATTTTTTTTTTTTGGGTGCGGGGCGCAGGGTATAGGGGATTGAACTCAGGGGCACTTGACCACTGAGTCACATCCCCAGCCCTTCTTTGTATTTTATTTAGAGACAGGGTCTCACTGAGTTGCTTAGCACCTCACTGTTGCTGAGGTTGGCTTTGAACTTGTGATCCTCCTGTCTCAACCTCCCGAGCTGCTGGAATTACAGGTATGCATCACTGCACTAGGCAGGATAGAGAATTCTGAGCACAACAAGATAACACTAATATCTCATCAGTGCTGGGTCCTTTAGTCTGTGTGCTTTGCAGAAATTTTCCCACAAATAACCTTTTTTTTTTTTTTTTTAGATATCTTTATTTTATAAATTCATTTTTATGTGGTACTGAGGATTGAACCCAGGGCCTCGCATGTGCTAGGCGAGCGCTCTACCACTGAGCCACAATCCCAGCCCACAAATAATTTTTAATGATAAAACTTATATAATAAACATGCTGAGCTTATCTCTGGGTTACTGTTTGTCCATCAGAGGACAGTGTTCCACCACTGGTCCCACCTTTCTCTATGTGTTTTTCTTTTCTCAATCCCCATTACCCCTAGATTTCTGAATTAATACCCGTACTGGTCACAACAAGGAAGTAGAGTTAAGAGAAAGTTTTTTTGTTTTTGTTTTGTTTTGTTTTGGTACTAGGGATTGAACCCAGAGGTGCTTAACCACTAACCCACATCTCCAGCCCTCTTTATGTTTTATTTTGAGACAGGGTCTCATTAAGTTGCTTAGGGCCTCAATAAGTTGCTGAGGCTGGCCATGAATTCAAGATCTTCCTGCCTCTGCCTCCTGAGCCACTAGGATTACCAGCATGCATACATACTACTGCATCCAGCAAGAGAAAGTTCTTGTAGTATAAAAGGCTTAATCATTTTTCGCAGGATGTATAAGATGCAGAAAGGAACATGAAAGAATCACAAAAAAAAAAAAAAAAGGTATGCAGAAGCCAAAAGCAAGAGGAAGAACAGACAAAGACCATCTTTCTTGGTGGAAGAAAGTAAATTGGCCTGTATTTATTTAGTAAACAGAAGGTATATCCACAGGCTAGGGAAGAAATCTGTCAGGTTTGTTCTTCAAAATAGAGGGGAGGGTTGGGAGTGTCAGTGGTAGCCTGTTTGCCTAGCATATTCAAGGCCTGGGGTTCAATCCCCAGTATCACAAAAAATAAACAAACAAACAAAAAAACAAAAATAGAAGGGGAAAGATGAAATACAAGGAATGAGACACAGTCAACAAGAGATAAATTTTAAAAATCATTGTTCACACACTAAGGAACTGACTTTTAAAAACAGTCTACATGATCATTAAACTAATTGTCAATTTCTCCCTGAACACTAGTCAACATTGAGGGTTGAGGTATATATACTGTCTTAAGAGACAGGATTATCATTGTCTTACATGGCAAAATTTAAAAACTGTAACAAATCTACTGCACACTTTTTTTTCTTTCTTTTTCTCTTTCTTTCTTTCTTTCTTTTTTTTTTTTTTTGCAGTTCTGGGGATTAAACCCAGGGCCTCATGTGAGCTAGGCAAGAACTTTACCACTGAGCTATAACCGCCAGTCTGCACACTTGTTCTTAAATGTTTCATTAAAAAGACCTCATGGTTTAGAAAAATGGCTTGCTAAATACAATTCATGAATGTTGAGGACATGTTACTAAATAAACAATAAGAAGTATTTTTCATTTATCCCAATATAATGCTATTACCTAAAGAGTAATTTCAGTGATATAGTCATAAAAGTATAGAAATGAAAAAAAATACCTTAATAATATTCTGTAGAACTTTCTCATTCACCACTGCTTTATGACAGGCTGTTTTTTGGTATAAATCCACAACTACTTCTAAAGACCTTTCAGCAAATGGTACATAATTCAAGGCTACCCATTCCGCCTAGAAAGTAATATTTTCACAGAGAGTTAAAAAAATGGGATTAAAGAAAATTATGTTGTTTTAAAAACAAAAAAAAAGCTTTGTCTTAAAGTTCAGGCCTTGGTCTTAAGTCAGATCACATTACATGCAAAGTTCTCGAAGAGATATGTGCTAAATGAAAAAACAATTTTTAGCCAGGCAAAAATTAAAACTATTGGAAAAAGCAGAGAGCATTTCTATGAAGAACTGGGAAATACATACTTAATTTGTTGCCAATAGGTTAGGACAATTTTAGGAACTTTAACTCACCGGTGCAAATAGTTGGATCTATTGTGATTCCATTGTGTTGCAAGACAAATAGAATGAGAAAAGTTAATACATATTAAAACTACTTTTTGGACTATATAAACTATAATTTTTTTATGTTGGGTGAACAAAATCAGCATATGCATGCATTTAGAAATTGACTTTTCCCCTAAGCCCAAATGAAGTCAAAATTTGACAACTATTGCTATAAAAATGTTTTACATAAAATCCAACTAAATTTCACACCAGTAATAGACAACTTCTTATTCAGTACACACATATTTCTTCATCTTGTATTTTAAGTATCTATTTTAGATAAGATTAGGCTTAGGGGTTTAAAAGCTGCTTTGTAGTGCAATAGGGCAACCAAGAAAAAGGTTCCAAGGAATTTACCTTTTTTCAAGAAACATGTACTAGAGAGTAACATGAAAGGTAAAACTTTCTGAAGAACAACTTGGGAAAGTCATAAACCAGGAGGAATGAACACAGAAATGGTTTCTCAAATAATATTCTGTTCACCTTAAATTGTTAACAGACACCTGTAAGTTTATTTTGAATGAAAATTCTTTTTCTGAGATAAAGTGCATCTTAATTGGAACTGACCATATGTGAATTAAAAACATTCTTTTTCCAAGATAATCAAAGTCCATCTTAAGTGGAATTGACTATTTTTATAAGCCATGAAATCTCACAGAATAAATAAAATTTATAGTAAATTACCTGATTATATTTTGCATTTGCAATGTGTTTTGTTTCCAGCTGTCCATACTGTGGAGGTTTACAGGAAAATTCTACAAATGCCAGTAACTGGTCAAATATAGCTGGATACATTATCTGCATGTTTTCTGGTCCTACACAGATGGCCTAAAAAGCAAAATATGAACATTAGAATGCAGAAGTTCTTTACTATATACATATTTGGTTAACCCAAGAATCTTAAAGACTGTACTATTTTATGTCAGTATTATACCATCTTTTATATACTTTGAAAGATATTTAAACTATTTAAAACTATTATTGAATAAAATATAGCCTCAAAGTGTTAATCAGCTTTTAAAAATGCTTGTTAATAAAGCACAATTTATTTCTTAGCACAGAAGAAAAGGGGCAAGTACTTAAAGTCCCAGGCAGTCCTGAGGTTCTACAACTGATTTGTTCAGTAATATAGCTATCAGAATAAAAGTGCTTCACTGACCAAGATGATACTGGTTTCTACTTAAGTGATATCAGTTCACTGAAATGATAGATCATTTCTGCATCATGCCTGGTCTACCAACCTTAACAAATAATCATGTGCATTACAGTTGGGAAAATAAGTCATCTATAAAAATTTATTTTAAAAAATTACATATTAAATTTAACAGGCTAAATATTTAATATCTAATGTCTCTGAATAAATCTGATTTAAAAACAAGAAAATATTTTAATACAAATTAATAACATATCATTTTAATGAATACTAGCTAGTTTCTCTAGATATATTACTTCAAATAATTAAACAGAAAGAATAAAATGTATATCCTGATACTGTAGATTATGACTTCAAATATGCTAAAAATATTTAAATATTTATTGGCAATATTTATGGAGTATTTAAAATACCATTGTGCTGTACAAAATAAAAAACACAATCACTGTACACTTAAAAGGGTATTTTGAGTGTACCCTCAAAACACTAAACTAAAATTTAAAGTTTTATTTATTTAGCTTTATTTTTTTTATTTTACTGGGTATATAACTCAGGGCCTTGCACATGCTAGAAAAGCATTTAAAAGTTTTAAGAAAAAACTTTAAAAAATTTTTTATGCAATCTGTGGCTTTTAAAATTTTTTTTAAATTTGTTCTAATCAGTTATACATGACAGCAGAATGCTCTTTGATTCACTGTACACAAACAGAGCACAATTTTTCACTTCTCTGGTTGTACAAGAAGTAGGGGCACAACATTTGTGCAATCATACACGTACCTAGGGTAGTGATGTCTGTCTCATCCCACCATCTTTCCTACCCCCATTCCCTCTCTCCTCCCCTCCCTCATCTTTGCCCAGTCCAAAGTTTCTCCACTGTCCCATGCCCCCCCCCCATCTATGGCTTTTAAAACTTATCAGATTATTTCATCCCTGCCCCCTAGTCATTTATCTATGACTAAAATTTAGATAAAACTGCACTGAGATAAAAAGCAGATAAGCAAGGGCTGTCCATATATACATAAGTTAGATCATCCTACAATTACAGTGTAGTAAAATACAATAAAGACATCTAATAACAACTCTCAACATTTGGTTATTTTTCTCAAAAACAGTGAATAGAGAACTTGAATAAAATTTATACATTCTAAAGAAAATTATCTTTTCTGACTGCTTCTAATAGTTCTACTTTCTTCTTTATTAACCTTTTGCTGGATCTCAACTCTTGGAAGTAAACAAGTGGTAATTATAGTGGATACTGTTACCACTCTAAGTGTTGGATGCTCTAATCATGTGGATGCTCCAGAAAGCTAAGTATCACAATTTCTTTAGAAGTATCTTACATGATAGTATTTTTGATTATGCATTTGATTTCCAATGGTCTTTTTTTGAAAACATACTAACAGTGGTACTGCTGACTTATTAAGCAATTCTAGGACTATGAAATGCATAATATGAAAGCCCCCTTCCCTTTTGGGGAACAAATTTCATCCAAGAAAAATTTTTATTGGCTTTTCTTCAGTATTCTGAAGTTTATCAGAAAAATATACAGGATGAACCTAAAAACAAATTTTAGTAAAAAGATGAAAATTGATAATCTGGGCAATATTTCTTTATTAGTCCTTGAAAGCCATATACATAAAAACAAGAAAAGAAATAGTTTAAGGTTTTGCTTAATAACTCATGTACCAACACATCATCTAGTCACAGCCTTGTACTAATGTCTTTGCCAGAGAACATGATGATAAAAATAATAAGGGCTAACATTTACTCAAGTGTTTACCTTCTGTCAGGTACTGGAGCATGGGAGGAATAGATGAACTCTAAATACAGCAGAGGTTGGAGGGGAAGGGAGATGGCATGAGGTTATAAATGATGGTGGAATGTAATGACCATTATTATCCAAAGTACATGTATGAAGACACAAATTGGTGTGAATATACTTTGTATACGACCAGAGATATGAAAAATTGTGCTTTATATGTGTAATAAGAATTGCAATACAATCCGCTGTCATATATAAATAAAAAAATGCCTTACAAATTCTACTTAAAAGGCAAAAAGTTGTAGATTTATTTTTATCTTACACATGAGGAAGCTTAATATAAAAAGATTAAGAAACTTGCCATATATTCTGAAGATAGGGCTTCATTACATAACTCCAAAGACACATTCACACACAATGTGATAGTGTCTGTGAAGTACAAGTCCAGCAGTCATACGTTGTACCCAGCTACCTGACCTAAAGAAGCTTAGCAATACATAAGTCAGATGTAGTCTCCTGACATCAGAACTTATAGTACATTACATACACAAAGCAGACAATCAAATTATCAGTTCCCCATGTATGCAAAAATAATTTAGGAAAAAAGTCAATTAGCACACATAACCAAGTCAGGCTGGTCAGTAACTAGTCCTATGAGAAACAAGACTAAGATTATGAAGCACTAAATAATATAAGGGTAACTAACAATGTTGAAGAGAGTTTTTCCTTTAGGACAGAAAATTGGTTGTAATCAAGGAAATGTTTTGCTAGATAGTTCAAAGATAAAATCCCAAAGTAAATTTTGCTTGTGCAAAAATTTTCTAACACTTGTAGAAAGTATAAAATCACTTACTGAAATAAATTGTTAATTTTTCTGTTAGAAGATACTAAAATAAATTTCCCATTCAAGGTTTGTGCAACATCAGGTAATTATGCAAAGAATAAAACAATCAATGGCTAGAGTATAAATTAATAATCATATAAAAAGGATATGAACTGATATAAATGAAATATAAAGCTCCCTAAATTTCAGACTTAAAGATATATTTTGTTTTCAAGGTATCAAAAGCTCAGAATAAACTCCTAATACTTGGATGAATGATTCCACTTGTTCTCTTATTGATAAAACAGAGTTTAAAAATTGAAATATACTTTTTTTCCTTGAAAGGTAGTTAAGGTGTTGTTTTTATCTTCTACATATATTTTAAAACCTGAATCAAACATGTCAATGAGAGATCTAGATTACAAGTATTTCTGAAAGGCCTATAATTTTATTTTGTTAGAAAAACTTTTTTATTCCCCTTTAGGGAATAAAAAGGATCAACTGAGGGTTCCCTTTATAATCAATTTATTTATATGTCCAGTGGAGGGAGTAATTATTGATAGACTACATTTTTTTCCCCAATGAAAACAAAAAATTATTTTCACTTCAAATTGTGGAAAATTAATATTTTTTTCCTCCAAACTGCAAATTGCCCCAAGTTTTATTTGTAGTCCATACAAAAGTGGGGGTGGGGTGGGAATTAAGGTTTTCTAACACCACCTATGGTGGTGATGGGGAATTGGGACTGTGATAAACATAGTAAGAGCTAACAGTTTATTAGCTCACCATCTCTAGAACATCAGTGGTGAGCAGTGATTTGGACACATACCAACTAACTGTCCCGATAGTATCTTGGTCTGAACAGTCTACAGAGAAACAATCAGGGGCCCATGGACTACTGGCACAGCTTGGTGTATAGAAAATGATTAAGCTAACCCTTTCCTGGCCTCCCTCACATCTAAATGAAAAAGGTGCCGCCAACCTCAGCTGCAGGTTGCTTCCCTATCCAGATCTAGCTCAGTTGGTAGAGTGCTTGCCTAGCATGCATAAGCCCATGGTTTCAATCCCCAGCACCACCACCACCACACACACACACACACACACACACACACACACACACACACACACACAAAAAGTAATTCCCATTCTGGAGAGATGGGAGGCAGGGCAGAAATATTAAGTATTCCCCACAATTTTCTAAAATGCCAGATTCTCTTAAATTTTAATTTTCTCCACATTTGTTTCCCTGTATAATGCAACTAAGGGTTAAATACAGAACAAGTTACTACTTAGCTATATTGCCTTCAGAGACAATTAAGTGATATCATGGTTATTAGAAGTATTTTCATTATTACTACGAAAGTTTTCATCACTCTAATTGGATAAAACAATCAATTAGGTGGGCATGGTGGCACATGCCTATAATCCCAGCGGTTTGAGAGGCTGAGACAGGAGCATTGCAAGTTCAAATCAGTCTTAGCAACTTAGCAAGACACTGTCTCTAAATAAAATATAAAAAAGGGCTGGAGATGAGGCTCAATGGCTAAGTGCTCCTTATTTCCATACTGCCTCCCCAACCCCCAAATAAGGGAGCATGGATGTAGATCAGTGCCAAATTGCCCTAGGTTAAATCCCCAGAATGTTCGAGAAACACACACACAAAACACAAACAAAAAAAATTGGTTAATTAGAAAACATGATTTTCATTATTTAACAACTGAAAATCTCTATGTGATCAGAATCTAGTTTTGTTTTTGTAGTGTGGATTAAACCCAGAGTGTTTATTGACTTGTATATCTCCAGCCTTTTTAATTTTGAGACAGGGTCTCATTAAATTGCCCAGGCTAGACTCAAACTTGCGATTCTCCTGCCTCAGTCTCTGGAGGTGCTGGGGTTTTAGGCATGCCTACCTAGAATCTAGTTGTATTTTGCTTTTGTTAGAGTGTCTTGGAATGGCAGGCTTTTCAGTTGACTGTGTATATTTGAGCTATATTCCCAACCTTCAGTTGACCCTTTATTTTGTTTAACATTATAATGATTCTGAATTGTGCTATCAATTTCCTTGATAATCTAAAAAACACTTTTATTTTTATCTAGTTTTACTTCATAATTTGGATTTGCTCAATGATTTTTTTTTTTTTTTTTTTTTACTGGGGAGTGAATCCAGGGACACTTAACCACTTAGCCATATCCTATCCTTGGCCCTTTTTTTTTTTTTTTTTTTTTTGTATTTTATTTAGAGACAGGGTCTCACTGAGTTACTCAGGGCCTCTCTAAGTTGGTGAGGCTGGATTTGAACTTATGATCCTGCTGCCTCAGCATTCCAAGCCGTTGGGATTACAGGCATGCACCATTACGCCTAGCTTTTTCAATGATTTTTAGGTCTGCTTGTTTTAATGATTAGCTATTTTTGCAATAACAAAACCCAAAGCTAAAAACATAACTTCTTAAAATTTCTGTGAGAAAAAGACTTTTATAAACTTATCCTTTATTAATGTGGGTTTCTAATAAATTAGGAACTAAATTTAAGTACAAATGAAAACAATACCAAAATATAATCCCAATTCTTATTAATTTTTGAATAATAATACCATATTCTTTTGTGAAAAACTGTATTAACATATCAAAAATGCTGGTGAACTGGAATAAGAGCATGCAGGCAGCTTCTTAAAAGACTCAAAGCAGGCCTTAATTACCTTCTTGAAAATACCAGAAAGCTGTGAGTCTTTTAAGTAACTAGATCTTGACAATCCTGAATTTATCCTCAAGTACACTTACAGAACAATTTGATGGTCTAGAATTTATCCTCGAAAATATACAGCAAAGTTAAAAAAATTTCAGAAAACCATATTAATTACTGCTTAGCCAATAAAATCATATTACCTTTTGGAGAACATCTAAAGCTGTAAGTACAGCTTCCTGTAAACTTGTCAGAACTGCTTCAGTATAAGATGGAAGAATAAAAGGAGATGCATCTGAACTTATTGGAACTGAAACAGCACTGTGTAATATGACTCCCAACTTTTGCAAGTCATCCATGTTAAAACCAGTTTTTATGTGTTGGTAAAGTGCTGGAAATATCTGAATTAAAGCTGTAAGAAAGGGTTGGCTGGGAATAAAAGTTAGTTTATCAAAAGTAATAGGAGGCTTAGTGCTTTCAGATCCAATTCTATACCAAGTATTCCACGCAGCCCACCAGAGATTCAAGTCTTCAAGCTCATCAGTAACTATGGGTGGCTCAGAGTTACTATATCTTCCAAGTCTTTCTCCAATAGAATCTGTTCTTATGAATGGCCGGCTTAAACCAGGGCCTGAGATAGGCCCAATAAGGACAGGCACAGGTACATTAACTACAGGTGAAGTCTCAGGCTTATCTGAGTCTCTGACAGGGGACACAATCTGTAAAATTTCCTGGAAGCTTTTCAGAGCAGCCAGAGACACTTCATTGTTTTTGCTGAGTGCTGCTGACTGTATATGGTCAAGAAGAACATCCCAAGCTCTTGAAAAATCTCCTATATTAAGAAGAGAAAGAAATTCAATTAGCATAAAAGTAATCAAATTTTCTCTTATTATTAGACTCTTTAAAATAATTTTGCTTCATTTTTTTCCAAGATTCACACAGAACTAAAAAAATATATAATTAGGTACTAACAACGTGAGTTAAAATCATCAGAACCCAGAAATCCAGCAATAAATTTGTTTTTCAGATACAGGAACAAAAAACACCAAGATGATAGTAGGAATATCAAATAATTTCTTGGTTTTAAAAATAAAATGTGTATGTATACATGTTTATACTATTTCCTAGTACTATTAGTATAGTTTATACTATTTCCTATTTTCAGCAGAACATGGGTTGAATGGTAGTTGTTAGTTTCCACTAATCAGCTCAATATTCCTTGACTCCTGTGACAAATTAACTACATTAATAATGAAGCACTCTATGACCTGGTGCAGTCTGTTCCCATTAGGCTCAAAAGAAAAAAAAAATTCCTGTTGCAATGAAGCACAATGATTTTATTCATAAAATAATTATCCAGATTTTTTTCAAGATGGCAAAATAGAGGAGGTTGTTTCCTGGCTGCTCTGTGGAGTGAACCAAGAAAACAGACAGGCAGCTTCTCAGCAAGGTGAGTAAACACAAAAGGCGGGGGGTATACTTTAATGGAATTTAATATTGGACATTCAAAGATCAGGGACTCAGGAGATTGGATATAATAAAATAAGGAAGAAATCCCCAGGGGCATAGCCATTGCCTAGGCTGGGCTAGAAGCACCAGCTAGAATGGTCCCTCTGCAAGAGATGTGGAGGGATAAGGAAATTAAAGGAAACCACATTTTTAGGAGGCCTAAGGCATGTCTGGGTACAGAATATTTAGAGACCAAGGACAATGCCTGATTAAAATGAAAGGCATGCTACACAATATCCTTATGCAGCTATCATCTCACCTGGCTGCATGTGGAGGATAAGAGAAGAAACCATTTTGAGTCATGGAAACCATTTTGAGTCACGGCATGGAGCCAAGAGCTGAGGGATCTGATTCCTGGCAAACCCTAGTTTGGCCCAAAATACAGGCCCAGTAAACACAAAATGCATGATAGAGTGTACTTACGTGACAAAGAGAAAATCAAACATGGAGAGAATTTTACATAGGGGACAACTAGTTGCAGAAACCCACTTGGCTCTACCTCCCCCGCTTCAATCTGACTGCATGGACAGGCTGGGAGAGACACACCTGGCTGGGAATTTGAAGAGCAGGGGCAGGAGAGAGTGAATTTGGAGACTGACCCAAGACGAGGAAACATGGGGTCTGCAGGTGACACAGGGGACTAAGAATTGGCTTCTCTACCACACGAGTAGAACCCAGGGGAGATCCCTGGGGTATAGTCTTCCAGCATGTACAGACAATTACAGGGCTCTGGAGGTATGATTATTTAAAATCTCCAGACCAACTGGCATTCAGCAAAGAGCCTGGAGCCCAGCTAAGCCTAAACCCTACCTCCAAAAGTTCTGCTCAGGATTACCTCTCTCCAGGAATCCAGAGGGTGCAGCATAACACTCCAGACGACCCCACCCAAAACTGCTGAGAAGAGCAGCTAAGAATCTTTTGAACTCCAACAGGAAGAGTTTTTAAACTTTTCATTGAGATTTTTTTTTTCTTTTTTTTTCCCCTGTTTAATTGTGACATTAATGGTACATGGACATTTACACATATTCCAATCTGTTTTTTTCTCATTTCTAGCATTTTTGAAGCTAGTTATTTTTTGTGGATCAGTTTTTTGAGGAGTAGGATGTTTGCTTAGCATATTTTAGTTTTGTTTTGTATTCTTTTATTTTTATTTTTTAAACATTTTTACTTTAAGTATACATTTTTCCCTTAGCTATCCGTTTCCCTTGATTCTCTTTCTCTCTTTTCCACTAAAAGCCGATCTCTATTGTTATCATTTTCACTCTTCCTTTAATCTTTCACTTCTCTCTTCTCTGCTCCTCCCTCATAATCATCACATCCTATATCCCTCACGTCTATTGTCACCCTGTTTATCACTTGAAATTATAAACCTTTTGCAAACTTGCTATTTTTATTGTAGGTAATAACTGATCATATCATTTCTGTTTGTAGTGATAATTTTCATTATAGATATAAATAACTATTATAATTATAGAACAGAAACTATTTGGTTTAATACTGCATATTGTTGTTATTATCTGTCTCCCCCTACAGTAAGGTACTGGAAATTTTCAGGGACACTAGAAGTCCACAGAGCTGACTGCCTCAGACCCATACTGTTAGATGGGTAGACACAGAAACAATATGAAAAAGCCAGGGAACAATTGCCCCAAAGAAGCCAATATATTCCAATAACCAAATCCATTGACACCACAGGGGAAAAAATGTCAGAGAAGGAGTTTAGGATGTACATAGTTAAACTGATCTGCAAAGTAAAGGACAGTACAAGGAGTAAAATCAGAGAAAATACAGGAAGTGAAGAATCACTTCAATAAAGAGAGATTCTGATAAAAAACAAACAGAAATCCTCAAAATGAAGAAATCAATAAGCCAAATTAAAAATTCAATTGAAAGCATTACCAAAGACTAAATCACTTGGAAGAGAAAGTTTCAGCCAATGATAACAAATATATTATCTTGAAAACAAAGTTGACCATGGAGAAAAGATGTTAAGAGACCATGAAGAGAACTTTCAATAAGTACAGGATAGTCTGAAAAGACCAAATTTAAGATTTATTGGGATAGATGAAGGCTTGGAGATAAATATGAAATAAATGCACATTCTTTTCAATGAAATAATATAAAAAAATTTCCCAAACCAAAAGAATGAAATAAAAAAGTTAAATATAGGAGGCAAACAGGACCCCAAATATACAAAATTATAACAGACCCACACCAAGGCACACTATTATGAAAATGCTTAATATATACAATAAGGATAGAATTTTAAAGGCTGCCAGAGAAAAACAATATGTAAAATTTAGAGAGAAACCAATCCAGATCTCAGCTGATCTCTCAACCCAGACCCATATATTTGGAGGTCTTGGAATAATATATACCAAGCTCTGAAAGAAAATGGATGCCAATCAAGAATACTATACCCAGCAAAATTAAGCTTCAGAATTGCTGATGAAATGAAAACCTTCCATGATAAACAAAAGTTAAAAGAATTTACAACCAGAAAGCCTGCACTACGGAACATTCTCAACAAAATATTCCATGAGGATGAAATGAAAAAAAAAAAAAAGTGAAAACCAGCAAAGGGAGGAAGTACACTAAAAAAACAGTGAATCGATGGAGAAACTAATTCAAATTAAAAACCAAAAAATAAATCAAAATGACAGGGAATAAAAATCATATCTCAGACGCTGGGGTTCTAACTCAGTGGTAGAGCACTTGCCTAGTATGTGTGGGGCACTGGGTTTGATCTTCAGCACCATATAAAAATAAATTTTAAAAAATTAAGGTATTGTGTCCATCGAAAACTAAAAAAAAAAAAACATATCTCAATAATAACATTGAATGTACATGGCCTAAACTCATCAATCAAAAGATATAGACTGGCAGAATGGATTAAAAAACAAGACTCCACAATATCCTGTCTCCAAGAGACTCACCTCATAGGTAAAGACATCCACAGACTGAAGGTAAAAGGATAGGAAAAAACATATCATTCTGATGGATCTCATAAACAAGCAGGGGTTTCTATCCTCATATCAGATAAAGTGGACTTCAAGCCAAAGTTATCAGAAGGGACAAAGAAGGACATTTCATACTACTTAAGAGAATCATACATCATTAATACATAACAATCAGAAATTTTTATGCCCCAAACATCGGAGCATCTACATACTTTCAAATAAACCCTTGTCAATTTCAAGAAGCAAATAGACCGCCACACAATAAAACTGGGTGACTTTAACACAACTTTGTCACCACTGGATAGACCCTCCAAACAAAAACTAAATAAAAAAGCTACAGAACTAAAAATACAATTAATATTTTAGACTTAACAGACACAGAGGATATTTTGTTCATCCAAGACTGAATACAATTTCTTCTCAGGAGCAAATGGTCCTTCTCTAAAACAGACCATATCATAGGCACAAAGCAACTCTTAGCAAATACAAAAAAATAGAAATAATACCTTGCATTTTATCACATCATAATGAACTGAAATGAGAAATCAGCGATAAAATAAAAAAATGGAAGCTACTCTAATACCTGGAGATTAAATACTATGCTACTGAATGATAAATAGATAGCAGAAGAAATCAGGGATGAAATTAAAAATTCTTAGATGTAAATGACAATATCAATACAACAAATCAAAATATCTAGGACACTATGAAGGCAGTGATAAGAGAAAAGTTCAATGTATTGAGCTCATTCATAATAGAAAGTTAACAAATAAATAACCTAACATTATATCTCAAAGCCCCAGAAAAAGAACAAATCAACACTCAAAGCAGTAGAAGTCAGGAAATAATTAAAATCAAAGCTGAAATCAATGAAATTGAAATAAAAGAAACAATCCAAAACAACTCACAAAACAAAAAGTTGGTTCTTTGAAAAAAATCAATAAAATTAATAAACCCTTAGACAAGCTAACAAAGAGAGAGAAAACTCAAATTACAAAAATTTGTGATGAAGAAGGAAATAATCAAAATGGACACTACTGAAATACAGATGATGATCAGAACCTGCTTTGAAAATTTATACCCTAATAAAATATATAATTTTGAAGACATGAACAAAGTTCTAAAGATATATGACCTACCCAAATTGAATCAGGGAGACACAGAAAATTTAAGCAGATCAATTTCAAGCAATGAAATTGAAAATGGCACCAAAACCCTACCAAGAAAGAAAAGCCCAGGACCAGAGGGATTCTCAGCCAAGTTCCACCAGACTTTCAAAGAAGAACAAACATCAAACCTCCTCAAATTATTCCATGAAATAGAAAAGCGGGGAGCCCTTTCAAACTCAAAAAAAGCTAGGTAT